CATTGCTTGTAACAACTGAGTAATATTCCTTTGTGTAAATGCATCACCTTTTTTTTTCAAATCCATTCTTTGGTGGATGGGTAACTATTTTCAGTTTCTGCTTATTGTAAATAAAGCTGCTGTGAACATAGTTGAGGAAATGTCCTTATGGTATGGTGGAGTGTCTTTTGGGCATATGCCTAGGAATGGTATATCTGGGACCTGAGGTAGGTCCATTCCCAATTTTCTGACAAACCACCATATTGATTTCCAAAGTGGCTGTACAAGTGTTGCCCGTGCTCCACATCTTCTCCAGCATTAGCTGTCACTTGTGTTTTTGATCTTAGTCCTTCTGAGCCTGGGTAACTCAGAGACCTAGGATAGAACCAAACATGACTGGCCAAAAAAAAAAAAAGTCAATGAGGTGATATTCTGCTGTACTCACAGATTGTTGCCTGGCCTAGTTGTCATCAGAGAAGTTTTGTTCAGCAACTGATGGAAGCAGATGCAGAAACCCACAGCCAAGCAGAGATTGGAGAATCCTGTGAAAGTGGAGGAGGAGCCAGAGGGGTGAAGCACACCACAAGAAAACCCACAGAATAAACTATCCTGTGCTCATAGAGGCTCATAGAGACTGAAACATCAACCAGGGAGCCTGCATGGGACTGACCTAGGCCCTTTGCATATTGTTGCCATTTTGCACCTTGGTCTTTTTGTGGGACTTTTAATGATAGGAGCAGGAGCTGTCTGTCTCTGACTCTGTTGCCTACTCTTGGGACCCTTCCCTTCTACTGGGTTCTCTCATTCAGCCTTGAGGAGAAGAGGTGCCTAGTCTCACTGCAACTTGATATACCATGGCTGCTTGATATCCATGGGAGGGAGGCCTGGCCTTTTCTGGGGAGAGAAGGGGAGGAGTGCATGGGGAGTGGTATAAGGGGGTTGGGAGAAGGGACTGGGAGGAGAGGAGGCAGGATATCTGTGATTTGGCTGAAGGAAAAAAAAAGGGATAGATGGTACATACTTAAAATCCCAGTGTTTGGGAGAATAAAGATATGTGAGACCTTAAGACTGGCTAGCATATTTGGTGAAATTCCAGGGCAATAAGAGACTTTGTTTCAAACAAAACAGAACAAGAAAAATCACACACACACACACGTATGTCATCCCCAGATACATGAATATGCATGCACACACATATACAAAAGATAGATTCTTCAACAGATGATGCTATACTGGTTGGCTAATTTGACCCTTTTTTTTATACTTACGGCCCTCCAGATTATTTGAATTTTTCTGCCTGTAACACTAGGACTTATGAAGAGAAGAAATGTTGTAGATCAAGAAGTGTGTATTGGCTGATGTATCTGCAGTAGCATTTGTTGTGACTACAAGGTAAAATTTTTTTAAAATAAAAAATTGTATTTACTAGAAGCATTCAGAATGTCAACAAAACAGCTGCATTTTTTTTTTGCAATTACAGAGTGGTATTCAGTTATCACAACAATTATCTTCGTATAAGCTGCATCAGAGACAACTGAAGACGAAAAGAAAAAAGCCAAAACAAAAAAAAAAAAACCCCAAAACCTTCTGTCCACATATGTAACTAATTTTTGCTGTGTGCCAGCAAGAACCTGCTTTAAACTTCCATGACAATTTGCAGCACCAGACTGTACCAGACAAGATCAGTGGCTACTGAAAATACCATCAGGACAGGGTATCTAAAAACACATTTGGTAGTGTGGTAGCTATACAAAAAAAGACACTGTACAGTTTAAAAACAAATCTTACATTTCAATTTTTTTCTTTAAAAGGAGTGAGTTGTGTACAGGGGGCTTAAATGCTTTATAGAAAAAAACCAACTTATTCATCATCGTCTTCCTCATTCTTTTCTTCCTCCTCTTCCTCATCCTCTTCATCCTCCTCTTCATCTCCCTCTTCATTCTTTTTCTTGCTCCTTTTCCCCTTTTTTGTTGCTTCCGGTCTTCTGTTAGCTCTGTAAGCATCAGTATCCTTTCCGTGCTTCTCCTTCAGCGTGGCAGCCTTCCTTCCGTAGGGCTGCTTGTCTTCTGCTGCAGAGCTGTTCCACATCTCTCCCAGTTTCTTTGCAACATCACCAATGGACAAGCCAGGGTGCTCTCCTTTGATTTTTGGACGATACTCAGAACAGAACAAGAAGGACGAAGGAGGCCTCTTGGGTGCATTGGGGTCCTTGAACTTCTTTTTGGTCTCCCCTTTTGGGGCGGGGTGCAGTTTTCATTTCTCTTTCATAACAAGCCTAGTCAGCTTTGCCAAGTCTTCAAATGTCCCCTTGTCTTTAGCAGACGTGGTCTTCCACCTTTCTGAGCATTTCTTCAAAAACTTTGAGAAGTTGACAGAAGCATCCTGGTACTTCTTCTTGTGTTCCTCCGGACAAGTTTCCACAAAGAATGCATATGAAGACATTTTGCCTCTCGGCTTCTTAGGATCGCCTTTGCCCATGTTTAGTTGATTTTCGTCGGCGAGGCAGAGTCGCCCAGTGCCCGTCTGGCTCGCGCCTGCCCCCACATGGTCTCTATGGAGCTCAATGTACTGCAATGGCTGTGAAAGCCACAAGATAAAATCTTAGCTGTATAGTAGGCTTGATGGCCCTCTGGCTCCCATTGCCCTTAGAGCTTGAAAGAAGTTGGCACCTTAATCTTACAGGATGCCTCCCTACTTTACAGAAGACAATATCTGAATCTTCTGAATGACTTTCTGCCCGTTTGTAGTCTGACATTCTTTATTTTATGACTTAGAAAGTTTCTCACAGAGGACTCTATCTTTTGGGGAACCACATTTCTAGTTCCTTGAGTTTAATGGAGGGGGTGTCACTTGTATTTTGGTTAGTGAGAAACTATTTTGTTATTTCAGAAGTGTTACCTTTTATGTTGACAATTTTTTGGTGTCCAATGTAGTATAGTAGGGGTCTTACAGGAACACTAGGTACTTAGAGAAACTGTCAACTTGACATTAAATTGATACTTTAAACATGCTAATTAAAAATTACAAACAGAACAAAAGAATGAGAAATCATGTTTGATGAAAAGGTTCTAAGTTTCCAAGTTTATGCAAAAACCAAGTATGCAATATCTTGGTCTGAAATCAAAAAAAGAAATGATAAAATGATGAGTTAGTTCAGTGGTAGAGTCTTACCTTGCATGTGGAGGTCCTGATTTGATCCACAACATTGCAAAAGGAAACTTTGATAGACTTAGATGCATTGAAAAGGAAAAGTCTTTGGCAGTGATCAAAATATTAAAAAGTTAAGGTGAGAATAAAGCTGTACAAGTCATATAAAGACAGACTATTCTAAATAGTGACTACTCTGTTCACCATAGCCCTTTGCCCGTTAAAGTGTCACTACCATAATCACCACCACTATTGTCGTCAGCAGACACAATACTAACCATAATAAATATACTCTTGTGGAATAATCTTTTTTGTACACACTGTGAAGACGTTTCTCTGCTAAGGCAACTTGTGATTGGTTTAATAAAGAGCTGAATGGCCAATAGCTAGGCAGGAGAGGATAGGCAGGACATCCAGGTAGAGAGAGGAAGTCAGAGGAAGAATCTTAGAGGTAGGGTATTTGCCAGTCAGACACAGAGGAAGTAGGATGTACTATGCAGAGGAGAGGCAAATAATCACATGGCAGATGCAGATTAATATAAATGGGTTAGAGTTTTAAGAGCTAGTCGGGAACAAGCCTAAGCCAATGCCAAGTTTCCATAATTGGTAAGTCTTTGTGTCATTATTTGGGAGCTGTTGGTCCGAAGAAAATCTGGCTACAACATTTACTGAGCATCTCTTAGAGGAGTCTGTATTTTAAACTCAACTTTCCCATGAGAATACAAATGGACCCAAAACTTATGTTCTCACAGAATTCATATGCTTGCAGTCTAACACCAGGAAGTGGGGCTTTGTGAGGTGGCTCATTCTGGCACTGAGAGGGTCTCATAAATAGGAGTGTCCTGATGAGGGATCCCAGAGAGATGCCCTCACGGCTCCTGCCATGTGAGGTTATAGTGAGAAGAACCGGCAGTCAGAATCCATTCTGCCACTCCCTTGACCATCAGCTGCTCCAGAACTGTGAGAAACAAATTTTGCTTGTATAAAAATTACTATCAAACCAAGTGAGAGTGAAGGGGAAGGGTTCAGCCAGAGGCTAGTGGTCGAGTATTTTGCAATAAGCCTCCATTTTGAACACATCTTTCTAAGAGCTGCATTTAAACAACTGAAGACAACCCTCGACGATCTACACAAAACTCCATGTATGAGGACAGTCATGACAGCGCTTCTGTGAGTCTGAAGGGAAGAAACAAGCATTTTACTGCTTCAGTCGGTCCTGATGCTGGTCAGAATGCCTTCATGGGTTACTAAAAGACAAAACCCAACAACTCAAAAAGCCACACAGTAAAACGCTATCAGAAGTAACTGGAACGTTTCTTCTGGGACTGTGAGCATTCTCAGGACTGAAACCTTTTATCATCAAAATTCTATTTTTCCTTAGTAATTTGTGCGGGACACACACACACACACACACACACACACACACACATACACACACACACCCCACATACACCCCTCACATACCTGCTCACTTCCATCCCTCCCCACCCAGGGAATATCACCGTAGTGAGGAGAAAATGAATCAGAGAACTTCAGAGGTTTCAGTGGACAGCTGCAGAGACCGACCCTATAACCCCTAGGAAGCCTTTATCACTGACTCCGTGGTGGTGAATGGTCAGCACGCTTTTGGGAAAGAGGAAAGTTTTGGGTTACCCCTCCTAGGACTCAAGGAGTGCCCAGAGATGGTGTGGGAACTCAGAACCCAGTGCAGGAAAGCAGACTCAGTGAGAGTCTAGCGTTGCTGTAGCCCTGCCTTGGGAATCTCGTGGCCTCGGGGTTCCTGGGTGGCGGACTGAGTGACTAGCAAAGGACGCACCTGCATCCTCCGACGCCTCCCCGTGGCTGTGCACAGTGGAAGGCGGGACCACCCGGAGCTGTGATAATCAGGATTTAGGTTCCCATACTCAGGGGCCAGACCAGAGTATCCTGGTCGGTGGCTCCCGCGCCGAAGTGCTCAGCTGTGCCTCCCTCCCCATCACAAGTTTGCTCAGTACCGGTTAAGTAGGCGAGTCTGGGACATAGACACTGCCTGTTCCTTGGACGATTCTGGACATGGCCTGGCTGGAGGCTTTACCCTACGTCTGTGGCTGGCTGATTCTCCGCAGCTGTTTCCTGGTCGGAGCGCAGGTAAGAGCTGGGGCACTGGCGCCTGCTTCCCTAGCCCGGGATGCAAGTCCAGGCGCGCTGGCCTTTGTCCAGCATCGCATCTCAATGCGCTCGCTCGCACAAGACCAAACGTCCTCTTTAGGCGGGAGGTCCCGGGCCCTGGGAGTCCCGACCCCGAAGGGGATCGGGAATGCACAGCTGGAATGGGGAGAAGAACTTTATTTTTCCACGTAATCCCCGGGGTGCTTGATTTAACCACCCTAGTGGTTTTTGTCCGTTGTGGATTCACCATCGTGTTCGAGAACTTAAAACTTCTAGGACTGATGGTATAGTGTAAAAGTGTAACTGCCTCTCTCTGATACAGAAGCTAAGGAACTAGACTGGATATAGATACCACTAGGTTCTTATGTTGAGTAGCGGTGGTCGTTGGAATTTTCCTACTGCCTCTGTCGCTTAGGGCGAAAAGATCTGGGGGATCTTTCACAATTGATCTCTTTAACGTGTTCATCCTCACTTTTCAAGTCAAAGAATATGTAAGGTTCACGGTTTTATTTTTTTCAGATGAGCTAGAAAGATGCTTGGTGTGGTATTCTGCCGGTTGAGTCCGGTGAATAAAAACAGATCCGAGGTTATGTTTCTCCGATTCGGTAGAGGGCGCACGTTGACCATTAAATAAAGATTTTTTTTTTAAACCTTTCCTTCAACAAAGTTAAACGCACCCATGAATCTGTATGTTCCTGTGGTACTTAAAATGATGCCTTTGACTTTAAATGACCAACTTAAATATTAATTATTCAGAAGATACAGGTAAAAACAACTAATCTGCCATGATCACATCAAATCAGAAGGTATTTCTAGGAAATAAGTGCCTTGAGAAATACTAGTCTTTACCTTGCATGATGAGGACGTTTCATGGAGACTTACTCTTAAAAAAAAACCCAAATGGTGGACACATGGGGAAGAACCTGGGCCATTCCTGGGATGATGTGATGGACTCTGGAAATCCCTTATGGAGGCCCTTGCCCTCCCTGGGGAGTGGAGAGGGGATGGAGTGGGGATGAAGGGTTGGGAGGATTGGGGATGGGGACGGAAGGGAAGGAGAGGGAACTGAAAGTGACATGCCTAAAATGTTAAATAAAAAATATGGAAAAAACCCCAAATGGGTAGTGCATCACTCAGTGGGTACTTAAAAATAGGTTCTTTCAAGTTTGCAAGAAGCTTCCAAATTAACGGAAGGAATATGCGTGTCTGCAGGAAACCTTTCTAAATTGGATGGTAACTTTCCACTAGAGTTATTGGACTCTGGTGATCTCCAAGATGCTTCCTAAATTTTTGTATAGTAAAGTATTTGAATAAAACTTAAAACTACTGTCTTCTTGTGTAAGGGGCATATCTGTTCTGACACTCTCTTTAACTCAGTGTCTGGGTTTCTTCTCTCAAGAAATGAGAGATTATGTAGTTCAATAGAGGAATGAATCACCGTGAGATCACGAGTAGGATATTCCATTTGCCTTTTAAAAAATATGTCTTTATTTAAATTAGAAACATGAATGCTTCAAATGTCAATCCCAGCTCCCTCTCCCACCCCTCCTCCCTTGTGTCTCTACCAGCCCCCCTTCACCCCCAACCCAATCCCTACATCATTCCCCAGGGAGGGTGAGGCCCTCCTTGGGGGGATCTCCAGAGTCTGTCATTTCATCCAGGGCAGGACCTAGGCCCTTCCCAATGTGTCCAGGCTGAGAGAGCATCCCTCTATTTGGAATGGGCTCCCAAAGTTCATTTGTATGCCATGGTGAACACTAATCTACTACCAAGGTCCCAGAAATTTCTGAGACCTCCTCACTGACAGTTGGTGTTATCCTTGTAGATCTCTGGAAATCTCACTAGTGTCAGCTCTCTCCTTAAACCTATATTGACTCCATCTTTTATGGTATCTCTCATCCTGCTCTCCTCTATTCTTACCCCGACTCAACCTTCCTTCTCCTCCATGCCTTCTTCTCCCTTCCTTTTATCCTCCTCTGTTTTTCTTGGTTCCCTTTCCCCTCCTTTGCTCTCAATAAAAAAAGTGGGGCCCTCAGCCTGAGCACTGCTGCCTTCTGGACCAAGGGTCTGTTTCTTCCTGGGCCATCTCCTGTAGTGTAGGATACTCTGAAGAGGCTCTGTACTTTGTCCACTAGGGGCCAGTGGCATCCCCTTGGCCTTCACTGTGACAGTAGCAAATATTTTCAGATATTGCCAGATTTCTTTGGTTGTTGAAATTCCTTCTGGGAATTATTTTTTAACATTGATTTTTTTCTCTCTTTTCCATTCACCCTCCCTGTGTGTGTATAGGAATTCGTAAACCTACAGTATGATGAATTAATATATATATGTATATGAAAAACTGAAGGTTTGAACAAATTACCTTTACATAGCTATACAACTTCTGACCTTCAGTTTTCCATCTCAAGAAGAATTATATTGGACTAATTTTTAAAAAATTCTGTAATTCTCAGTTTATTACATTAGTTTATGGGTATTACATATTCTGAAATTTCATTGGTTAGTTGGAGGAATAATAAAGCTGAAACACATTGTGGGTATTATTTATCTAAGAGTTACCTGCTGATTTTACTAGCTAAAGCATAAGAGACAAGGTATTTATGAAAAAATGCACCTGTCTTGATTTATCTTTGGAGTGCCAAGTAACTGATGAATATATCCATAGCTACACATATATTTAAAAATTATAAAATACTGAGAAAACAATAAAGAAGACTCATCAAGAAGACTGGGCTAGTATAAAATAAGTGTTTAATTGTTGATTAACATTGGATCACATCACAAAATAGATAGCATGGACCAGTGCTCATTGATTCTTATAAAGATTGCTGTCATTTTTGTGCAGAAGTAGCCTTGCCTCAAGGTACAATTCAGGACCCATGCATTCATGGTCCTGATGTCATCACAGAGCCCAGCAGCGCATGTCTTAAAGTCAGATGATCACATGACAGCAAGTACCGCCATATGCTTTGTGTTTTCTCTATTGTGCTAGTGGGCTTTCCTGGAAACAGATAAGGGTCTAAGAGTTTTGCTGAGGGAGTGAGTGGTGCCCGAGAAAGTTGAAGAACAGGAGGGAGTTCGGACCTGTGGCGCTGGCTGTAGGTCAGACTGGTACACTTCTGGGAAGTGTGACGTAAAAGATTCCTAGCATCTGAAAAAACTTCCAGAAACTCATGTGGTGGATGGGAGTAAGGAAACCCTGTACAATGCCTGATGTGAGCAGAGACCGATGGGCAGATTCCACTTTCCCATTGTCTTGCTGAAAGGCATGCTAGCTGCGATGGGCCTTCTCTAGCAGGGGTAACAGCCTCAGGAACCTGAAATGCAGCACTCAGACACCTCCGTCTTCAGAAAATCCTAGTGTACGGACTCAGATCCCTCTGCTTTTATTGTCCCCTTCTGTGTAATGAGACAGGGATCTGTGAACTCTACTGACCTATTCTAAAGAATCAGTCTCCTGATTCTGAGTGGATGGCAAAACAAGATACCCTATGATTCCACTTAATTAGTCTCTAAACACCCAGTAATGTGCTAAGCACGCTAGTCTCCCTTTAATTCCCACAATAACTCCATGAGATAGGCACTGTCATTACTTACGATTTTATAGATGAAGGAGTGGGCTAAGAGATATCAGGGAATGCACAAATGCAGATGGTTGCTATTATAGCACAGTGATTTGCACTTTGGCTTTCAGAGCTCCTATCAGTCCTGCTTGTGCCCTCTTTGTAGAAGTCAGGTGGCACTGCTCAGCTAAATTATGCACACACCCCGCCCTCTGTTCCAGTAATGCTTACTACGAAGAGGCAGCCCATGGAGTTTTTCACCTTAGTCTTTGATGAGCACTGAAACTGGTCTGTGCTGCTATACAACTGGGCACAATATGAATGTTCATAATGGGGTACTGTGCACAGCAAAAAGCAATGGGCTAAATATGCTCTCACCAACATTATGAGATCACAAAGCAGGAGATGGGACAGAGAAGCCATGAGACAATGAGAAAATACCATTTACTTATGTTAAAACATAACGCAAAGCACTCATGCGTGCTCTGTGTACGTGTTCAGATAAAGTGCGTGTCTCACATAGGCATATGTGGGGGATAGAGAATTGTGAGTGCGAAGTAAGGGACAAATCAATACATGTAATCACTTGACACTGTGTGCCTCAACCTCTGCGGGCAATCAGAAGAGACAGAACTACCCCAGACCCATCACTGGTAGATAGAACCACGAGGACAGTCCTGGGCCACAGGCAGCTAGGACACTGTTATTAGCAGATTGAAATGTGACTGCTGGCTATCTCCCTGTTGTTCAGGTTGCTGCAAGTCCTGTTGCAGCCAAGCAGAGGATAGTTGACTTATTTTTTTTTCCCTCCTGTCCATGGCCTGAACACATGTCATTTGTCTTCTAGTTAAAAGTACAAGGAAGCTTTGTATCCCCGATGGGATGGATTTCTTGATGGCTACCCTAACCCTGGGACATCTCTTTAGCCCTTGTAGCTGAGAGACAGAGTGATGGAAGGGGCTAGACTTTGCTTTTTCTTTGCAATGTAGCAAGTCATTTTTAATTTATGAGCACTTTCCCCAATTCCTTGTGACTAAATCTATAACATTCTCAGTCAACACCCATTCATTCTATTTATTTTCCAGTCTCTGACTTCAGCCGTGTTGGTCATCTTTCCTTAAGTGGCATTTCATTTCTTCCCTTTTGAGTTTCACTTCTCACACTGTGAAATGGTGGTGATAATACCATTTATGCACAGAATGTGGGAGTCTTAAATCTAAAAAACGTACAAACAAGAAGAAAACAAAAGCATCAGCTTCCTTTTCTCCCAGCTGGATTAGCCAAGCTCCTTTCAATAAAAAGTGATTGGCTGAGATCGGGAGCTGCTACAGGCTTTTGAATTGGTGTGAGAGAGAATTTGTGAGGCCGTTCCCTCCATCTGCGATGCTCTCCTTTTATTCCTTATGACATCTCTAG